CAACAGAGTTGTGAAAATGTGATTTGAGAATTCTAACCAAACATCATATTGAAATAGAGGTGTAGAATCATTGTTTGAAAACACAGCCAAACATATTAAACTTTTTCCATTATTATCAATCCATATTCACATAAAAAGATGAACAAAAAAAAAAATTCAATTACCACTCAAATGTGATTACTTTATATCCTTCTCTCCACTTCAAAAAAAAAAAAAAAAAAAAAAAAAAAAAAAAGAGGAGGTGACACTCAAATTCATAATATTTATCTCTTTTGCATCGTCTCTCTTGTACACAAGGCGTCTCAAATTCCTAACCATGAAATATAATTCATAACTTTTTGCCCAAGATTATCAAGATCAAAATATGACTCATTCATAGTGTACAACAATTTGGATATATAGGGTTTTGATAGCCTTTTGGGATATCCGTAACAAAAAGGTCAAAAAAGAAAAGGAAGAAAAGGAATTTGGGGTGAAAATTTTCATAAAAATGGTGAATATTTTTTTAATTATACTAAGAATGGAAAGTGAAAAAATAATTGCAAAAGAATAGTAATTTTTGGGATTGACTCAGACTGATCTTGACTTATTTTGGTGATTGATCATTGGTTCTCTTATGGGGTTCAATTGTCTATGACCAATCACAATCGACATCATAGTAAATTTTGACATGAAAATTAGTGTGTACATCATTTTCCTTTGCAAAAACATGGTATTCTAATTTATTTATTTATTTTCAATTTTGTTTTACCTTCTCTCTTTCTTCGCTTGTCCCTTTTTTTCCTATTCCCTCCCTTGCCTCTACTGTCAACCACTTCTCCCCTACCTTCCCACTCACAACCAGCCAAAGCCTCTCCTACCATCCCTAATCCCCATACCTCGTCTACCCTCCCCCACCTCAAACCTCTTTTCCAACCTTAGTTGTTCATCCATGTGCGGACATGGAATTTCTCTCGTACGTTAACTCCTTGTGATCAAGTAAGAACCTTTGCAAATGGCGTCGTATGACATGAAAACACAAGAACAGTGAACTTGTTGGCGAGTGTGAGCCTGAAAACGTTTCCGATGCCTAAATTAGAATTTAGGATCAAATCAGGAAAAAGCTCTTTAGAGTAGTCAAGTGATTAGAATTGCCTTACCAAATTAGGTTGAATTCTAAGACTTTTGTATCTTTTATCATAATAGAGTCCTAGTAGGAGTGCATCTCCAATGGATAATCTCAATCCACTAGGAGTCTATCTCTTAAGGATAACGCATATCCTTAAGCTCCCTCACTGTACAGGTCTCTGTGAAGTCTATCTACTTATGAGCTGACAATTGAGTTGAGCAAACCATCTGTTCGGTTGTTCTCTGTTTGCTTAGCTACTTAGCCATTTCTCACTCATTTTGGTCCAAAGTGTGACAACCCCATTCCGTATTATACTGTTAATCCTTAGTTATATTTAGGACATATTATGCAAATAGTTCCTATAGTTTACACGTTGTGTCATTTTGGTCCCTCTAATTTCAAATTGCTTGATTTTGACCTTAAATTTTGAATTTTGTATCATTTTGGTCTAATTGAAAACGGAAGTTAAGAAATTGGACGAAAAATTTGCACGTGAATCACATGTGATTGGTTTCTAAGGGCACAATAGACATTTTGCTTTCCCTTTCCCTTTCAGCTTCTTCCTACGCTTCTCTCTTTCAGCCTCTCTCTCTCTCTCTCTCAAAACCCTAGCAGCACCATTGCCTTGAAGAAGTCGAGACCGAGCACTGAGGCGTTCTTCCATAGCGATAACGGCAAGCAAAGGTACCTCACAGGATCCACCACCACCACCTTCGCCTCTGTCACTCCTCTTCCTTCTTCTCTTACACCTTTTTCGATCGTCTCTCTCTACTCTCTGTCACTAGTGTCGGCTCCCATTGACACTTCCGGAGCCATCTCATCATTCACTCGTTGACGGTTTCACCTTTGAAAAAGCCACTGACCACCGTCGTCTGTCGTTCCACTGCCTTTCATCTGTTTAAGTGAATGAATATGTGTTATGTTTTGGTTCATCCGTTGTCATAGCTAGTGGAAGTGTACTGCCTGGTTCGGTTCTGTCGGTGTAACGGTGGTTGCTTGTAGATGATGTTAAGTCTGGATGTCATGGTGGAAGCGTACAACAATGTAAGTATACTGAAACTTGGGTTTAGCTACAGGAGTTGCATGAATCGCCGTTTATGGTGGGTTTACGCCGGTCTTGTGGTTGTGTTTAAGTATGGAGTGCACTCTCTGCGTCTATACTGAGAATGCGTTCGTCCGACTCTGAGTGGAATCGCCGATTGAACTGGTTCGGCCATGTAGCTGGAACTAATCTACAATGTGGGTGGGTTTGGCTTTGCCAGCGACTGACCGATGCAAGTTTGTCTTCTCCGGCGTAACCTTGCCTCTTCTCTAATACTGGTTTGGTTCTACTCCAGCTTGGGCTATGTTTTGGTTCAGATTTATGGTTGCCTTGCTGGTTTTCCCGACGTTGTGAGGTTACATGTTGCACCGATGGTGTGCTAGTTTGGGTTCAGTGCTTGGTCTTGAATTAGGTTGACTCCATCAATGTTATTTCCCATTCTCTCTCTCTCTCTCTCTCTCTCTCTCTCTCTCTCTTCTGTGTATAGAGATATATATATATATATATCATTAAGTTAAATGAGAGGGAGTTAACTCACTTTGAGTTAGATAGATTAATCATTGAGTTAATTGAGAGTGAGAGCAGATTGACTTTTTTTGCCCGTAAAAACTTTGCACATGTTGTCTACGTGCAAATTTCCATCCAATTTCTTAACTTCCGTTTTCAATTGGACCAAAATGATATAGAATTCACAATTTAAGGTCAAAATCGAGCAAATTGAAATTCGAGGGACCAAAATTACACAACGTGTAAACTATAAGGACTATTTGCATAATTTATCCTTATATTTATGATAAAGCTCTGCTTTCGCATCTGGCCCCATATTATTAATTTTTAGTGGATTTCTGCCTGAGGCCATAGGTAATCTCATGATTACTGACCGATTATGATCCTAACCTATAAGGGTTAGTCTGGGTCATGACACAAAGGCTATTGAGCAGCAAACTAAGGTTGCTTGTCATGATCTAACCAAACCAAGCCCATTGACCTATAGCATAATCTTGCCCGGTCTAGAACTTGTGCGACATACCTTGGGATGCTTTTGCTTGGCCCAAGCATATGCTAGGCCCCAAGTATGGGCTACATCTTGCCAAGTTTGTACATTCGACCTTGTTGGGCTTTGTTGGGCCCAACACTTATGTCATGCTCCAAGGTGAAATACTTCGACATTGCTAGGTCACCAAAGCTAGGTTATGCCCGATTTTGCCTGGCCCACCAATTCGGTGGAAATATTCCTTTCAATCCCTAACCTCCCCACATGTCTACCTTAACCACCCACCAATTCCCTTACCTCGAAACCATAAAGTCACATTTAGAAAACCATAAGTAAAGTTGGGCAATAATGAAAGGTGTGATAGGGGGACTATAGTGGTGGGGTGGTAGATGAAAGGTAATGGAAAGTGGATTGGGGGAAATAAGGTTGGGCAATAATAGAGGGTAGGGTGGCGAATGGTGGAGGGGAGGGAAAACTGAAGGAAACCGAAGGTGGAGGGAGGCTAGCCTATTTGGTTTGATGGGTGGAGTGGAATGGGTTGGAGTGGAGAGAAGCTAAGGTTGAGAGAAGAAGGTTGCTTGGTTGTGAGGGGTAGGGATTAGAGATGGTGGTGGTGGGGTGAAGTGGAAGCAATTGTCGTGATGAAAGGTGAGTTAGATGATAAAATGATGGGAATTTTTCATAGTGGATGAGAATGAAGAATGGAGAATGGAGAATGGAGAAAGGATTTGGTATTATGAGAATATGATTTTCACTCTAATTGATGGTGTGGCAATGATGTGAGGGTAGGGGCAAAACTTTGTGTTACTTTAAAATTTATCACATCACACTACAAGAAATGTCACTTTTGGCTACCAAAATATTGGTCGCCAAAAGTCAGAAATTTGGTCGCTGAAACGATTTAGCGAGTAAAAGGTTTTGTCACCAAGTTCGTCGCCTATACCCTGTCGGCGATAGTATTGGCGACTAAACTTTATTTGGTCGCCGAAAGTATAACATTTGCCTACTAAACTTCTTTTGGTCAGCAAATGTTAGCTTTTCGCCACTAAAACCAGTAGTCGCCGAATGTGACTTTTGGCTACTAACATTTGTGTGGTCAGGGAAGGTGTTACTTTTTGCTACGAAAGAATTAGTCACCGAAAGTTAACATTCGGCTATGAATCCGTACTTAGTCGGCAAACGTGACATTTCGGCCACTAATTTTTTAGTCACTAAAAGTTCTACATGAAAATTTTAACCAACTATTAGAGACAATATTTTGGTCACCAATAGAATACATTACTGTTTGCCACCAAATGTTTTAGTCGCCAAATGATACCCTTTTTTTTTCCGTGACTAAAAAATTTAGTGGCCAATAGTTTCTCTCTCATTCTCAATTGTTTTAGCTACTAACTATTTAGTCACAAAAAAAAATTTGGTTATGTTTTTGCTACTGAATTATTAGTCGCCAAAACATTTGATTACGTATTTGGCTACCAAAATATTTGGTGGCCAAATACTTTTTGTTTTTGTTTTTGTTTTTTTTTAAAAAATATTCTAAACAACCTGTATCCATTTTCAGTACAACCTGTATCCTGTATAACCAATATAATCCATCAACGCTAAATATATTATCAACCATTCAAGCATTCAATAATGTGCACACATTTTAGCTCCAACCATCCAAAACATTAATATTGAACGTCCAATTCTATATATAATACAAATTCCATGCGAACCAAGTCTAATCCAACGTCAATAATTTCATTTCATACATAATATAGGACTAACCAAATTAATTAACAAAAAGGACACATGTACCACAACCTAAATTAGCATATATGCTAAGTTCTACCATGCCAGATTAGCTTATATTTACCACACCAAAAAAATAATTTGTACAAACCATTATATATACGGGTAGACGTATAAAAACAATGCCCTTCCGTACTTGTCAAAAAAAATCATATCCACATTTGTATGTCTAAAACCATCTGCAAATAAAAAAAATGTCAAAAGTTATGTTTATGGCAATTAAAGCGGCCACAGTCAACAAAAGCAGTAAACAATTTTCCCAAAATATAACCGTACATAAACTAATAAGGAAAGAGTTAAGCAAATTATAGTTTAAGATGGTAGTACCAAAATAGTTGCCCACGACATGGGGATTTCATGTTCTACCACATATAGATGAGAATTCTTTTCTGGATTTGATCGAAAAAAATTTCAAAAATATATAGATGATAATATAAAAAATTTCAAAAATATAAAAATTTCAAAGGTAGTATTAGGGCAAAATATAAAAATTTCAATGGTAGTATTAGGGCATATACGATGTATTTTTATATATATGTATTTATATATAGATGATAATATTTTAATTTCAAAAATGCTAATATCTCTCAAGTTGAACATAAGCAAATTTTGCTGCTATTTGCAACAAATCATTGCCAAAGAGATTGATGGCATGAACCATTAGCATAAATGGAGCAAAATATTTTAAAGGACTTTTCTCTTAATAAATCGAAGGAGTGATTTCTTAAGATTAATTACATACCATAGTGGAGCAAATGTAGATGACAAATCAAGAAAAGGGTATGGCCACCTGTTGCAAATAGTTACAGTTATAGGAAATTAGAAGTGGGATTTTTGTAATAAAAAGAAAAGAATGTTAAAAGGGAGACGAGTTTACCAAAGCGAAACGCAGGCATGGACGATCCATTTTAAAATGTACATAAACAGCAGTCCACAGGAAAAATTATACAATTCGAAACCAAGGGAACCGCTGGAAGAGAAAGACAAGTCTAAAAGATTAAATTGTGAAGCAAAATAGGAATTGAAATCAAGATAACAGAACTGCAACATACCAAGCAATTCAAAGCAGTGTCGCCGAGCAGAAAAACAACATTGATGGTATGCATATTTATAATCAACTGCCACGTCAAAGATTAAGCACACTATTTAGAAGACAAACAGAAGTTTTGATGATGAATCTTATGGGTTTGCATGATATCAACTTTGCACCATATGGGTTTTACTCAAGGAAGCTAAATGATTTAGAAATTGACACGTAAGAGGTTGATTTCATGTAGTTATATATATATATCTAATGATATTAAAAGTTTTATGTTATTGAAACAGAAAATACCCTGCATCTGTCCACGCCCATGTTTTTACCTCTTCATTGTATTTGTTTCTAAAATCATGGAAAACGAAAGCAATATACCAAAAAGGATATACTACACAGAGACAACCATATAGACATTATTAGTTCACAACTTTCATTTGTTTGTCTAACGTACAATGTGAGAGATCAAACAAGTTCCTTGAACATTCAAATCTACAAGTTTCATTCAATCTCAGGTAGATATAACTATGCAAATTGGGAGCTCAAATCTCACATTTGCAAGAAGAAAAAAAATTACACATTAAGCACAATTTCTAAGTTATAACTCAAAAATTAAAGTAAAATCCAATATAATGGCCAAAGGGACCATTTAGAAAATACATGTACATTAAAGTGACAAAAATTGGACCATCCACTTAAATAGCAACGTGTCTAAGTAATACAGGGCATACTACACAGCCATTACTAGCACACATTTGTTAACAGTTAACTACAAAACCAAAAGAAAGAATTGTGCTCATTTTGAGAATTGTGCTCTGTTCCTAGCAGAAGGAAAGGTGGAAATGGCATGAAAGATAGATTCCATTGGGCATTTTGTTAAAGACCATATAATGTCAAAAGGGTTAGAATTTCAATACACAATTCATATATTTCTGTACACTTTCTACATATTCGAATCTACTTTTTACACATATACCCCATTAGATGGGGTGGTTAGCATTTCCTTTTTTTGGAATTACTTTTCCTAAAAGAAGATACCCTCAAAAGCTCGACGAAATGCCATTGCTTCTGCCTTCTGCACTGGATCTCCATAGGCTGCATCGTTTACAGGAGCAGTACTTGTTGACTCCTTATATATCTTATCAAAAACACAAAACAAAAGTGAAGAGCAACCAAGTTCAGTTCCCTCACACACACATATATTTTCCTATTGAGATTCAAAAAAATTAAAAAAAGAAAAAAAAGAAAAGAAAGGAAAAGAAACAGGAAGGAGTGAGAGAGAGAATTGGCACATATTAAAAAAAATAGCAATAATGTTGAACAATCTTATCCATGCAAAAGAAATAAATAAATTTATATTAACACGTTATATAATAGTTTTTATATAAAGATGTGGTTACAATATCTAAAAGCCACCAACCATAAATTATTTAAAACCCGTTACATTCTTTCTTGACATTAGAAAAATGGACATAACAACCCTAAATAGGGTAATATAATAAATAAATAAATGAAAATCTGTCAGAAAGTTCCTAGAACACATGCATTTTACACAAATCTGTCAGACAGTTCATAAAGCACAGGTGCATCTTACATAAAGATGCATTTCAGTTCCTTGAGCCCTTGACCTAAGATGAGTTTTTTAACTGATTATATATGCCCCTTCATGTTTCTCTCCTCTCATTCCTTCTGTCCACTGAGAACAGGCACAAACTGTTAATAAAGGATATACGGATAGGAAGACAAGGATTCCAAAAACAGCCCACTTAAAGCCCATCATTAGCCAATAAATGAGCTCTTGCATAGAAAGTTGTGTTTGTTAGAAATTTTAATTTTTAGGAGTTTCTACTTTGGTTAGAATTTCCCTAAATTTTAAGTAAAGCTAGGTGTCCTTTCCAGGGCTATTGTCTAGCCTGTTATTAGTTTATAAAATTTCTATTACAAAAAATGCTATTGGTTAAATGTATAAGAGAGAGTTTGATAAAAGTAGGATATGTCTATACTTTTGACAATCATGTTAAACCAATCAATCAATTTCAATCTCCCCTTCAACTATATGCAAGACTTTGTAATGAATGAGATAAAAACCAATAGAAAGGGACTACTTACTGAGTATAGAAGTAAAATATTCAAGTTGTACAGAAACTTGGGCAGTCCACAAGATAACCCCAGAAGGCAAACAAGATGTTCAAGTTTTCCCTTAATAAACTATTGGAGAAGACACACAAAATCGATTACAGTGGCAATGCAGTTTGTTGATACATTTCACAACAACATAATGGGTAAAGATTAACACAATCGAGTAATTGAAATCAAGTGTTGACTAAATAAAGTTGAACATACCCTGCATTTCACCTCATTATGCAACTGTCACAATTCTTTGAAGCATATATACAAACAGATAATGAGCTTATATGCTTTGCACACATATTAAGCTAAAGAACCAACACAATTGCCTTAACAACTAAACTTAACATTGCCCACAGCAAATGTAAGGTTCATATATGCAAGTTGAACATTGCCGGCATTTCACCTTATCATGCAACTGGAACAATTCATTGAAGCATATAAACAAACAAATAGTGAGCATAGATTCTTTGCACTCTTTGAACATAAAAGAGCCAACACCGTTGCATTGCCTAACAAGCTAAAATAAACACTGCCCACCATAAATATATGTGCCATATATATAGGGAGACCTCGAGAGCGCGTTTGTTGAAATGGAGCTTCCTTAAGCAGTTGATGGTGTGAAAGACATGGCCTCTGTGAATGGGAAATCCGTCACCCATCCAGCTCTGGAAGGCAGACCCAACAGGCTCTGTTCTTGGGAGCTTCTCAATCCTCCAACACAAACTCTTTGGTTATTCTTCTTCTTCTTCTCTTCCTCCTTCGTGGGTCGAAACTGCAGTCTCATTCTCAGATGAATAATGATTATGAGGAGGGAGGGTAGAGAAGCTGAAACTTGAAGAATGGAATTGGGTAGCGGCAGAGAGAGAGATTGAAAGATAGAGAGAGGGCAAAATAGAGAGAGGACATACCAGGGGCAATGCTCCAATGGTGGATTGACGGTGGTGCTCGTGTGCGATGGCAGTGATGCTCCCGTACCCGACGACGATGGAGACAAAGGCGAGAGAGAGAGCTGGAGGAGGGCAGAGGCGTGAGAGAGTGAGAAAGAAAGAGAGAGAGAGAGAGAGAGTCACAGAGTGAGAGACAGACAAACGTATGAGAGTCTGAGCATGTGGAAGTGTATTTGTTAAACCTAGTTTATTTTCTTTCCCGACCAATTTTTGTAGTCGCCAATAATAAATAAAGATGTTTTCTCGGCTAACGATTTTAGTAGCCAATTAATTTTTCCTCTGAAATTTGAAGTCCAATTTTAAAATTTTTCAATTATAATCGCCAACTAAAATTTAGTCGCTAAAAGTAAATTAATACCGACTAAATTATTTTTAGTAGCTAAAGATTATACATTAGGGAACAAAATTTTTTTAGTCGCCTATAGGGTAAGTTATTAGCAACTAAGTTATTTTTAGTCGCCTATTGAGTAACTTTTTAGCTACTAATTGTATTTTAGTCGCCTATTGGG